AAAGCGAGGGGGTGGTGGTCAGATTTTTATTTTTTTTTTTTTTTGACAACCTACCTGAAAAAACAAAACAAGTATTTTCGAAACACATTATAATACCAAATTTCTTTGATTTAAACTATCCTACAACAAAGGGAAGAGGCAACCAGCTTTTCAATGGAAATTAACAATAGAAGTAGGTTATGTTTGGGAAAAAAGTGGGGGGGGGGAGGGGGGCAGACCCCTCCTGATGCTACGTGCCTGAAATATTTTCTAAGAATTTAAGGGTACATAAAATAGTCTATCGAAATCAGGATTGCAATTCAACTGAACTGTAACGATATTGTAAGACCAAATTCAAGAAGACATACAAGATGAACTTAATTAGCTGGGACTTGGCTACACATGCACATTTATTTTCAATGCAGATTTTGACAATAATAGACACACGGTAATAAAACAAAGATTTCTTGAGGTTTATATTCATCATATGTTTTCTTATATTTATTCGTAGTCATGCTCGAAGTAAAACAAGACCTGGTTGATGCCATTGATACACATGTACAATATTGCTATAAAGCAATCTTTTTAATTATTTGTACATGTATACGTACAAAATACAAATTGCATAGATTAGGCTTTTTAACTCATAATCTGATTTTTCAAAAACGTTAGATATGCAATGAATAGTCTTTTAAAAAGTGAATCTTGTATCAAATATGTTCCTTGAATGTTATTGAAGATTATTTTCATTTTATAATTATATACAGTCATGTTCTTTTTATAATGACTATAGATTTGGGTAAAAAAGTGTTAGCCTATTACAAAAACTTAGTTTTCGGAAAATAATTAAAATTTTATGCATACGAATTCGAAATGTAAAGAGAAATTGTTGTCTTGGAAAATATTTGTCAAACCTCGAGCTCCATAAAGAACATGATTTATTTGCATTATTTAAGAGTGATACAACACATTCTTTGTTCTTTCTATTTATTATAATATCCATTCCCATTTTCTTATTTGTAACATTGTACGTAGATGTATTTAGTAATTCACTATGTTTTAAAATTTCTGATGTGTCATTATTGTCCAACGATTTGAAGCTTTAATAAATACATAGATTCAGATGTTGCTACTCTATCAATCCACGAACCAGATCCGCCACTGATGATATGTTTTACCGGTGCCAGGATCATTTGAGTAGAGTTTTGTTATTTCATTTGGACAAATTTTAAGTAACAAAACACAAAACACGCATGTACTAAAGCACATAGAGTATATATACTTTCCCTTTATCTAGATCTGGTCCTATTTATTAAAAGTGAAAACATTTATCAAGTAATCGCCATTACGAATGAGGATAACGCTTACCCTTAGGAATGTCTTCTATTTTATTGAGTAGTTTATGACTGAAAATATGCGATATCATGGAAGGAATTCATAACAGTGTAGGCTACATATGTCCAACCAAAATTGATATTCTCATATTTTATAAGTAAGGATACATGTATAATTAAAAATAAAATATTTTTTATGTTTGACTTTAAAAACATACTGTGTATATCTAAGGTCAGGTAATTCCCACTTTTTAATCTTTTTGAAAATAAAAAATATATCCAGCCAACAGAATAATTTCCTATTCCTAAATGAAAAAAATCTGCCCAAATGAATTCATAATTAGTACAAATGAGAAGTACCAAAATAAATTCTACAATTTTATAATTATAATCAGCAATAATTCTGCCATCATTTTCATGAAGAATCCACGTTATTAATTGTTTTATTACGCATGTGTTAATTTTATTTTATACAAGTACTTTCCGTTAAAGTTGTATCTATAAGTTAGAGAATTTTAAAAGACCATAGAGCGTATTACTTTTAATTCGGAGTCGAGTGCATCATATGCAATGGTACTTTTTTTCCCCGCATTATAACACAAACATGCAATTCCTTTCTTGTCACAATTTATGACCGGCATCATATAATACCTCCATATTTTGGCTAGGATCTCGGTCAATATAAGAAAAATATAATATCTCCGAACAACTTAAATTTTTTCACACAGTTCACAAGAAAACATTTCATTCGTTCGATTGGCATTAGCTAAAAATCGGATCGAGTTTTAGCAAAGAAATAAAGAAGCAAACAAACATGCATATCATCGTCAACGCCATTTTCTCTCGATTACACCCAACATTCATGAAGAGATAAAGAGTACAGAAAACCAAGAACACAATGAATATTCTATATGCATAATAATGATATGCGCAGCTGTATGCGCAGTAAAATTGTTTGTGTAATTTTTAGTTTCCTCTGCTCGTGCAGTTTTTGATTTTAGGTTTGTGCATTTTATACCCCTTAATCGTGTAAAAAATTTCGGATTCGTGTATTTTTCGTTATGTTTGTGTTAAAATCTTTCAAACTATGTACAATTTTTACCGATACGTGCATTTTTATTTTACTCGTGTATATTTTTTATCAAGCTCGTGTATAAAATCGTGATCGTTGTGCAGAAAATAATTTTGAAGCAATCGGTGTGCCATACGTTGCCAGGTGCAAGAAAATTACCCTTTGGGCGGTATTTGGACTTCCTTTGCAGGAAATCTGATAACCTTTCCTCAGTGCAATTTAAACAAAATTTACCATTGATTATCCTTCCTTTGGTTGTATGTACATGTTTTACTGGACCTCTTGAAAAAAAATGAAAACTAATAAAACATGCTTGGAGCCTTGTTTCTCTTTACAATAATAAGAACGATAATTTTTTCTTTGATTCCACATTTTATTATTGATGTTACATTTTAGCTTAGAAAAGTGAACCAATATTTCGATATCCATCACGCAAATTTAACAAATCTTTTATTTTGTTAAAATATTTTGTTTTTTAAATATAGACCGCTGGCACATTTAATGCGTATTTTCTCTTAGGCAATCTAAAAAAAAAAAAATAATAAGGCACCCATCTGATAGAAATATTAACATATTCATTTCCCTTGTCAGAATTCTATAAAATGTTTTGATGATGAAAATTAATGCTTAGTGTTTTAGCAATGTCTTTCGATGTAAATCTGACATTTTAAGATATCATGTTGCACATAGCATCGATAATTTTTGGTGTCCCTACAAATTTCAATCGACCAGTTTGACCGTTATATTTTACTCTCCTTTTTTACTTTTGAATTTCTGAATCAATCTGAAAACTATACAGCGCTAAAGACTATATTCTTTCCACATATAAATATCATACCTTTAATTTGAGTTCTTCGGCGATTAATGCAAAGAAGCAGTTTGCACATACGCTCTCATTTTCATCTTCTTGGCGGAGATCATTTTAAACAGTTTTTCAGCTCAGTGTATAGTGACCATGCTTACTTTAAGAGTGAATTTCTTTGCAAGGACAATAGGAAAAATCATGGATTTTTCTGTGATTGGGAACTCTTTAATTGAACGTTTCAACTGTGAAAAAATAAAATTAAACAGATCTCCATTTACTATGATATACTGTTTGTTGCATTATTTATTGAACGACCCTCGTAAATGTCAATGAGGAACTCCAGCATCGTTTTAAATCAATGTCAAAGTACTTTTGTGTAGAATCAGAGTGAATTTTAACGACGTAATTTAATGATTAGGAAACGATTAGCCATAAAATTCAGAAAGTGGGTCATGGTGACCTACTTTTTGTTCGACACACTTCAAGGTCCCATGATGCATAAACTGACAAGTTTTGATGATCATAGACTTCAAAGTATCCAAAGTATCCGTCAAAATCAAACTGAAAATGAATACCTGCAAAATTCAAAAAGTAGACCACCACGACCTATTTTTGAGTCAACATGATCTGAGTTCCTAAGATGCATCAACTGACAAGATTTGATGATCCTAGGCTTTATAGTGGTAAGACTATCAAAGTTTTAACAAAACATAATTTTTTGTCAACTTTGAAGTGACCTTGACACCACGCCCTTTGCCCAAGAGTGATGACTTGAACAATTTTTAATCTACAACATATCCTTATCCTCGTCTGTAAGTTTGGTGATGATCTGCCTAGTGGTTCTTGAGAAGATTTTTTAGCAACCACTACTTTTGCTTTTATTTCCCTTATCATCTCCCCCACGCTTAAGGGACACATTCCTAGTTTTAGTATAAATAAAATCCCTTGTGCCAAAGATACTCTGTTACAAATTTGAAAAAATGACTAAGGGGTTCTTAAGATATGGCCCTTTTTCCAAAAAGTTTATGCACACCACACAAATGGCCATAGCATTAGCTCTATGAGTCTTTGGCTCAGAAGAGCTAATAATCATAATCTCATTCTTGTTTTGTCTGCGTGTTGAAGACTGGTACCCTGACATTAACGTTCTATATAAGGGCTTAATTTATATGGAAAATGTTAACTGGTTGCTTCCTTTCACAAACCGTGCTTAATTATAAAAAAATCATTCAGAGTGCGAACATCACTTAGATAATCTCAATTTAATAAGAGACATACAGCTTTCAGACTATGGTTTTTTCCATCAAATTTCAAGTTTCTCTCCTTAATTCCTTTAATAAAAATCTACCCTACTACCCTTTCTTCCTCTGGACGACATACAAAATGAATATGTACAAAATTTATGCCCGTTTCCTGAAACATACTAAATTTTATTGTTAGGATAAACACAGGAATAAAGAATCTGAAACTTGTGAACCAAAAGGTAAAATAAGGCTTATAGCGAAAGAGCACCTGCAAGTTCTTTCCTTGTCACTGAAGGTTCATATATGCATGTACTGTCAAGGTCACTAGTTCTCGTTCAATTATTCTACTCATTTATTTTGAATAAATTTAATAACTTACAAGAATTTTTTGATTATTTCTAGTACAAAAGTGACATGCATTTGTTTCTTATTTAAAACCGATATCTGTGGAATGATTTTGAAAATAAGAAAATTGTATCCTTATTACATTCATTGCACAAATTATCTGGCATGTTCCCACATACAAATGCATGATTTGATAAGTGAATGAATTTCAAGATTCAAGACACATTCAAAAGCTATTTATTAACCAAATCTACAAGGAGCTTTCTATAAGATCCCAAAATTCAGCGAGTTAAAAAAAAATACATGTATGTGTATGAGTATTTATGTATGTTGTTTCCCATCAGTAAAAAAAAAAAAAATAAAATTATACAAAGATTTCCAATGCATTTTTTTACTCTAATTTGAAAGTCAAATATTTTTTTTTATAATACACATTCAGCAAAGAAAACACTTGTTTTTTTTAGCAAGTTTAAACATATGAATTATGTCCATGAACAGTGCTGTTACTTTAAAACCAAACATCTGGTTCTCTAACAATAAAACAAACGCAGATTTAGCACACAGTTTATGCACATGCACAAAAATACGGAGAAAATTTTAGCTACGTATGTTAAATCAAAAATACATACTTTAACTTCAAATTCATTTAATATTGCATTTTTAAAGCATATTACATGTATACACACAAGGGCAACATCTAATCACATCTATACTCCAAGGACACTATTCATTGCACAAACAATTTTTGAAGTCAAGGCTCTCCAAAAGATGTAAGAATGAAATGACCAGTGTCTTTTCATATATTCCATCAGAGAAGAACCACCTAAGTATTTAATTTGATGTAAAGGTGAAATTAATGAGAATTTTAATGAGGAAGTAATTTAAACAAAGATAAAATATATATCAAATCACATTGGTAAAAATACAAAATTATAGACCATATCATTTTAATATTAGTTTTGAACATAGGAATCCCTTTCAAGTGAATACAGGTTTAAATGTTTGAAACATGCAAAAATGTGTCCAAAAAATCATCAAGACAACGATTTCCACAATCTTTTCTAATAAAACTAAAGAAAATATATACACAAGATTTGATACAAAATACTAGTTTTATAAATAACAGCCAATAAAATAACATTATTTCTACAGAATTAGCTTCCTGTCATTTACACAGTGACTGGGGAATACAAAAATACCAAGCAGCATTGGTATAGCTTTGAAAAGACATGTAAGTCTCATTTCTAATGCAGTTCTTACAACAGACTTTGATTTTCTTTTGACTGTTGTGTAGAGGTTAATCATCAAAGCTAGTTGTCTTTCTTTGAGCCATCTTTTTCGACTTTTTCCTGAAAATCAAAATTTAATTTCACAAGTTAATTTTTTAAATATTTGTATATAATATATACATAAAAACTTTGATGATTTGAAAATGTTGAGAAAATTGATGAATAAATAATAATCATCAAAGTTTCCACTCATCAACTTTCTCATCCTTGTTGAAGAGCACTGGTAAATAACAAGTATTTAATTTAAACCATGTTTACATTAATATAATTTAAGAGCTTCCTGTTCTTATTCCTTCATCACTTTCATTTTCACTATGTATTGTAAGAATGAAGGTCATTGAAGTATTATTAGTGAAATATTATCAAATTATTGTCTATTAGACAAGCGGAGTCAAACTCTGTATATAAAACATATATAGTGAAGTCATACAATGAAAGTTTGACAAACAATAGCAAGTCTTTCCTCAATTTTAATATTTAAAAATGTAAAATTCATCTGACTAAGCGAAAAAAGACTTTTCATAATATATTTTCTAGAATTAAAGTTTTTGTGTTGATTTTTTGATTTTTCCACTCTTTTTAAACTGAAAAACTTAATTTAATTATGCTTAATTGCTTTAGTTTTTCCATATTTAATATGTTTAAAAGTAAAGCATAACATATGTATGTATATTATTTGCATATTTGTTACTGTGAATGATATTGATTTAATATTATTTTAATATCAAATATCATTAATATAAACTATTTAATATTTAAAGATTGTTTTAAAACCATAGTATTTATGGTATCTAAAATTTCTTGCCATATCATAACACAGCAACTTGTCATTTGAAGACGAAACTTTATGTCTTTTTGAATGACATTTAGTCCCCTAATGTTCAATGTTGCAGTATATGTACACATGTATAAGGTAACATATGATGTCCTCTTTGTGCCTCTTGAGAAAAATTATATTTAGACTACTAATGAATCACGTATCCAGATAAAAAAAAAATAAATATATTGGGCAGGCCCAATCTGAAATATTCAAATTTCTATCACTGCCTGTCTGATTCTTACTTACAAATGATATGAACTGAAGAAGTATAATTTAAGTAATTTAGTTGATAAAAACTGTTCTACGTGATATCAAATTAATGGGGAAAAAATCTAAAATGCTAGAGAAAATGACCGAAAATTGCTAGGAGGACAATGTATTTGGCCATAATTTATTGTTGTGACATAGAATTTGAAGTTAATTCCACACAAGGTTTTACCTGTAGTTTTTCATGCTCCTTTAGCAATCTGTCATATTCATTGTTTGTGCTAGTAGCTTGAGACTTCAGTGTTTCTAGATCTACTTTTGTTTTCTTCAATTCTGAAAAAAAAATGAAGAAATTCCATTCTACATGCACTTTTTAAAACTGGTATTCAAAGCATAATAAAACTACATGTACATGTAAATATATAATACTGTTTATAAGTATAATTTGGAATGCTTTAAATCATAATGAAGGTTTCTAAATATTCCATTTCACTACTTTCATGAAATTTCTTTTGTTCCTAAACAGATTTTCAAAACTTTTTATAAATACTTGGTGACCCTACTTCTACTGATTTTGATACTCCTTCCCGATGATTATACCAATAAACCTTTCTTGTATTATTTTATATAAATTCTGCAGTGAATTTTCATATTGAAATGATGTCAGTTACCTTGAATATATAGTTAAATACAGTATCAAATTGTAATCCTTAAACATCAATATATATATATATATATATATATATATATATATATATATATATATATATATATATATATATATATATATATATATATATTATTTATATATATATATATATATTACAGTCCCTGAAACGTTCTACTTTCCCATTTTTCCGTTCGCTCACCATTCGTTCAGCGTGCGTTTACCGTTCGTTCTCCGTTCACAGTTTTGCGTTCAGTGTTCACCTTGCGCTCGCAATCACCGTTCACAAAGCTTTCACCATTCGCTCTCCATTCATTCACTTTGCGTTCACCTTGCGTTCAGCGTTCACTTATCATTCAGTCTTCACTGTCATTAGGAACTCCGAAGTGAAGGGACTTATCTTTTTGTAACTAAGGATTTACAGGTTTTGAAATTTAATAACTAACATATCGTATTTAAAGGATCATTAATTCATGGGAAAAAATGATCTACAATGTGTTTCATCATTATTCTAACTTAGCTGTTAGGTTATTTATTAAATTACTCTGGAAAATAAATGTTGTTACAAGTATGTACCTATGTAGAACGATGCTGAAGAATTAAATTTAAATATGGGCAATGTACGGATACTTCAAGCACTGCAACATTTTGTTGTTATATTAAAGACAACAAATCGTTAATGGAGAAATAGATAATAATCCTTGTCAATTAATTTACCAACTGCAGCAAAATTACGAAAATATTTATTTCTAACACATTTTTTTTTCAATTAATTTAGAAATACATATTAGAACTAGTTCTGAGAATTATAAATAGTACTGCGGAAATCCAGTTAATCAAATATCTTTGGAGCAAATTAAATTGATAGTGTGGTTAAAAAATATTTATTTAAATGTAATACACTACTATTTTTTTCTACTTTACATATATAAAGTCTATGATTAAAGAGAAAAAATTTCGTCCTTCCTTCATCCTTACTTTATATGTTTGCCATTCGATAAGACCCCCCCCCCCCCCCCTTTTCCACCTAAATCAGTTAATTAGTCAGTATTTCCAGTATATTGTAATTAATATTTAAAAAGAAGTCAATGCGTTTTGTACCACAAAAATTTCAGTCTCAAAACAAATATGCATCTTAAAAAGTCATTAAACAATATTAGCTCAAAATATACAGGGTGTCCCAAAATATATGATACCATTTGAAATACCTGCCACAAACACATCCCTCGGGCAATTTTTTGATATATGTCTCTAACAATATTTGAAGAAGTATAATTTTTTAGCAACAAAATATTCCAAAAAAATTCTCACACATATGAAATTACAACATATCAAATTTACATCAAACTTTTGCAAAAAACTGCAATTTTAATCAAAATGGATTATCAATAGAGCTAGCTACCTTCATTTTGAAACTGTAATTATCAATCCTAGACTTAGGTTACTGCTGCTAAAACCCAAACCAGAATCCTTAACATATACAAAAGGTTTACCTCTGATGAAAATCCAGAAGTAACTACCGATACAGGCATGTTGTCTCAAGTTAAGGAACTTTGCGCAATGTCTAGACATTATCATTACACAAATAGAATGTCATTTAGAGGGCATCATGTAAAAAGCATAGCATGTTTCAAAGTGAACTCATTTTGTTGTTTTCTTTTTAATGACTGTCAAATTATGTGAATAAAATTGGATAGTATATGCAATGTTTAAAATGCATTTGTTGTAATCCAATATTCATTACATTGATTAGGGTTTACAGAATCTTGAAATGGTATTATATATTCTGGGACACCCTGTACACGTGCCAGCGGTGGTATTTTAAATTGGCAGGGAGTATGTTTCAAATTCATTCCAAGTGTTTTTTATTTAAATTATTTATTTATAATTTTTTATTTTTTGAAATGTTGGAATCAGATCTAGAAATGATAAAAAATGTTAAAACTTCTTGAAAATGCTACAGAGTAACACTTCGCCTTTGGTGTGACGAGACTTTCACACCTGCACAGTGTCGAATGACTTTGATTGACAGCACAAGCACTGGACTTCGTGTGAACTTGAAGCAAGAAAATAAAAACCGATTATAACTGTGAAACAATGAATTTGTTGATAAAAAAAAGGTTACTTTCACTGCCTGATATATTTAGAAAAAATTTAAGAATTTTTGTGTGATGCAGGTACCTGTACATGCAATTTGGGGAAAGGGGGGGGGGGGCTCAAATGGGTAACGGGATGTTTCGCACCTAAGCATGGTTCGCGCTGCGATGTTTCGCACCAATTCCGTTTCGCGCTGAGATGGTTCGCCCCAAATTGTTGTACAAATATGTGCTAGCCTACTGAAGTTCGTTTAACAAAATTTTAGATTTTTAGATTTTAAACATGTTATATGGTTTTTTGATATTTTTTGAAACATTTTTTTTAATTCAAGGAGATTATATTTGTAGCAGAGACATAATTGTGTTTGAACTGTGTTTGAAGTATACATAGCATATAATTATGTATTATTTTAACACCATGCTAATTATAATACCGCCATCTAATTAAGTAATTATTGCTGGTTTGACTACCAACACGTCAATTAATAAATTCTCACCTTTCGATCTACAACTAATTATACAATTAAATCCTCATGGAATATTTGATGAATCTTTGGCAGTGCATACATGTATTATTAAGTCATGCATTTGAACACACAACATCTATATATGTATATCTTATAATTGATAAATAATTGATAAACAATTTTTTAAAATGGATAATAATTTCATGGAATATTTAAAATAAATCGTGAGATGTTTCGCACCTTAATCGGCGCGAATCATCCAGGCGCGAACCATCTCAGTGCGAAACAGAATCAGCGCGAAACATCCCGGATTCGCTAAAATGGAATCTCTCTCTCTCTCGTTTGTCCATTTAATCAAAACTATGACAGCATATTACTTAAATATCAAGTTCTCTTATCTGAAGTATAATCACGGGGAATTGTCTACAGATACATGTAGAAGTCTGCTTAACAAATCATCATAAAAAAATAGACGAATAAATATATTATTGCATTAAATTTTTAAAATACGAGTGTATTTACGCAATATGTCCACAGACCTTTGTAAAATATCTTCAATTTTATTTCTCATTATTTTACACGGAATCGCTTTGGCCCGGAAATACATGTGTGGTTGTTAAAACCGTTGTAATTCATTCTCCAAGTCAGTAATTTCCTCTTCCAAAATCATTATTTGTAATGGTTTTATATATCAAATAAGAATAAACATATATATAAATAGAATAATTTTATCTTTCAAACTACAGCGTTGGGTAACAATTACAATGTTTTACAGCGATAAAAATCGTGCGATTAAACAGCTGAATTTAAACATCATACATATGTGCAGAAAATATTGTAAGAAACTTAATTTCAACTTTGGAATATTTATTTATTTATTTTACACCTGACATTACAATACAATAGAATAGATACAATGCAAGAAAAAGATCAGAGGCATTCCGAATAAATAGTTCACCGTTCACTTTGCACTCGCGTTCACGCTCCGTTCACCTACCGTTAACCAAGTTGCGTTCAGCGTTCACACACCGTTCGCTCTGCATTCGTTCAGCGTTCGCTCACCGTTTAAGTGGGAAAGTAGAATGTTTCAGGGACTGTATATATATATATATATATATATATATATATATATATATATATATATATATATATATATAAATATGTATATATATATATATATATATATATATATATATATATATATATATATATATATATATATTTAAGAAATGAATTTAATTTTTGAAGATTCATGAGGACATGAACTACGACGCTTCACGCCGGCATATTTCATGAAGCGCGTTAGCGCTTCATGATAAATATGCCGGTGTGAAGCGTTGTAGTTCATGTACCTCATGTACCTCATGAATCTTCAAAAATCAAATTAATTTTATTTCTTATATTTACAATATTTCTTGATGAGTTACCACAAATTACGCCATTCAACTGTCATTTTTAAAGCAAAAAAGTTTGCACTATAGTTTTGACGTCAAGTACGGTATTATGACGTAACAATGGAGATATTCATGCTCATCCTTGGTAGTTCATGAGAAAATGAACAGCCTTCTAATTTGCAAAGAATCTTAAGGAAAAATATTTGGAAATGTATATATATATATATATATATATATATATATATATATATATATATATATATATATATATATATATAAGAAATGAATTTAATTTTTCAAGATTCATGACAACATGAACTACGACGCTTCATGCTGGCATATTTCATGAAGCGCGTTAGCGCTTCATGATAAATATGCCAGCGTGAAGCGTTGTAGTTCATGTACCTCATGAATCTTCAAAAATTAAATTCATTTCTTATATTTACATTACTTTCTGATGAGTTACTACAAATTACGCCATTCAACTGTCATTTTTAAAGCAAAACAGTTTGCACTAAAGTTTTGACGTCAAGTACGGTATTATGATGTAACAATGGAGATATTCATGCTCATCCATGGTAGTTCATGAGAAAATGAACTGTATTCTATTTTATAAAGAATCATGGGGAATTTATGGGAAATGTAAATATATATATTTGATTCATTAAAAATATATTTGAAATATATTTCTTTCTTTTTAGTGACTTCAATGGGAATTTTATTGACAATAATATATATACCTTCTTTAGTCTTGACTAAAGCCTCTTTTGTCTGGTCCAACTTCATAGCAAGGCTTTTCTCTTCTGGATCTAGGTCTTCGTATTCTTTACTCTGAATTGCCAACATAAGACAAAGTCAGTTTTCTTTACAAAATTACAGATTTCAGTTTGAGTCTTAATTCTGCGATTCCTACGCAATTTACTACACAGGATGAAGGATCATAAACCAGTGACCCACGTTGACCAAATATTCAAAACATAACCAACTGTAATCATAAATTTACCCTTAACTTCCATTATAATATTAACATCAACTTCTATATATAACATCCTGTTAACAAAAAGATAAGGGTCATGTACATTATCTTTCAAGCAGCAGGATCCAGAATCAGTAATTGAAGTAAAGCATTTGTAAAGTCTGTCACTAAATGGTTCAATCCATGTTAACTGATTGACTTCTACTGTATATAAATCTATAAAATTCTTTTGTTATCAGTCAATATTTCATAAAAACAGGACTGTAGAAAACTTCAAGACATTAGAAAGTTTGAGATGTCAAAGTTGAAACTCCATTGAACAATAAGTCAGGGCTGCCGACTCACTTAGATATACCCTTGGTATTTGATACATAGATGTTGAAGATACCTGATTCACCTGTTAGTTTCTATCCTACCTTATTAAAATTAGCAGTGTTGTCCTTCTCTTCCATCAGACGTTTGGCAGCTGCAGTAGCACTCTCTGCCTGCTTCTTGTAAGCCTCACACTGGGCTCCGAGCTTGGCTTCTTCATTAAGCAAGGTCAACAGACGTCGGATGATGCTAGAGCAAAAGAGTCAAATAATCACAAAGTACATATTTAAAAGTTAATGTTCAATAATAGGGATTAGGAAGAGAAGCATACTGCATGTATATCTTAGGCTAACTTTAAAATAATGTTTGTTTGCCCTCTTCCGACTCAGGATGAAAAAATTGAGTAAGTAGGTAGGTAAGACAATTTTTTGCTAAGAAAATTTCAATTCCAATGCTAAATTTTTAAACTTTATTGTCCAGAATATATAAAAAAAAAATAATTGCTTCCTGGAGGTTAAAAAAGTTTTGAGTCAGACCATTTTTAGCCAGTCTGTCGGGAGAGGGCAAGCAAATAATTTTTTAAAGATAGCCTTACAAACATATTTTATTTTTATTACTCAAACCTTTTTTGAAGAGAATTACATATTCAAGCAAGTTTGAAACTTAGGTATGAACTGTTAGCAAAAATAAGTGTAACTTACAACCAAAGAAACAAAGCAAATCCGGAGATGTAGAAATTTCTCTGAGCACGGAACAATTTCATCAGGCCCACGTTGACAGAGTCAGGATTGTGTTTTAAATCAACGGTTTCTGTGGGTTCTGTGTACTTGTGAACTTCTCGTATAGAATCTTAAAGAAAAGGCTTGAATATACAAAAAATGCTCTGGCTATCAAAGGCGCTCTTTTTTCATTATTACATTACAAATTTGAGCTGTTCTTCATTCAGGCAATATATTCTGTGGAATCATTTTAACTTGTGAAGGTCAATGACTTTGGGGCAAAATATTTTACTGGTTTGTTGGTAACTTGTATAAATAAAAGGTTCAATGAACTTAAGATATTAACTTAAGATATCATTCACAGAGGATGTAAACTTGTGGGTGTGACCCATGAAATCATCCAACACTGGTCTCCAATGAATTTGATCAGCAAAAATTTATGTATGAGTGGCACTTTCATAACATTTAATTCAATTTTATAGGGTATAACTGAATTATAGACTAAATTTACATTTTAAAACACCTTACAATATCAATACAATCTTTCAGCTCAGGTGAGCTAATAACCTACTGTAACATACATTTCTTGCATACATTCTGTATCAAAGTTATTTTACGCATAAATGTGTCTCATCTGAGACACCCAAAATACAATTCAGTATGACTGACAGGTAATTCTTACCCACAAACAGAAGCAAAAGTATTGCAATGAACACATTGAAGTAGATGTAGGAATATGAGGATGCACTGGAGACAATCCGTGATTTGAAAATCTTCTGCCACCTACAGAAAAAAGACAAATTTTCATCAACTGAAAACAAATATTATTACACGCATAGTATTCTTATACATATGCCATTTATGCTGCATTTCTTTTTTTATTTTAGCATTGATACTTTGTGTGAAAAGGATATGTCCAAGATCCCATAATTGTTTTGTTTTTCATTGATAATTTTCATAATTTTTGAAGGGGCTCAGCCTGGTAAAATTTGCATGCATTCTACAGCCTCCTGAGCTTGTGGATGGAAAAACTTTTCACAAAGACTGTAGTATTTTATAATTATTTCTAATCAGATATCAACCACAAAATGATACACAGCTAGCTGTTGCTACCACTTTCCCTCATTAAGGATTTCTTGTATTTTATTTGATGTACAGTACAATTTGACCATTATACCACACACAAGCATACACACCTGCTTGGAGAAACAAATGGTAGAAGCAGCACAATAACTACTCCGATCTCAATGTACATGAAAGTAGCCACAAACGTCCACTGAAGTGCCATGTCTGTAATATAATTTTAAAATCATATACATTATTACATGTACTACCTTAACATAGGAAAAAAACATATATTCACATCATAACCTAACAAAAATGTAAAAAAAAAAAAAAAAAAAAAAAAAAAAAGGAAAACAGGCACTTTTCTGTGTAATATACCTTTAATATTACAATTTCAGGGTGACATTGTTGATTTCATTTCATAATAGTGAGCGCAGCAAGCGGCGAAGCGCAGCTCCTCACTGCGAGCTCTTAAAGCAACGCCTGGGCGAACAGAAAATTCGGACTTTGCACATTGATCCATATGATTTTTTTCCACAGTTACCTGTGGTCCCATAATGCTTAGCTAATTGCATCTCGTAGCAAATTACATTCACGCGGTAGCAACAAAAATTCAACAAAAAATAAAATCACCTTGATTTTATGGATATTGCAGATAAATTGTAGATTAAATATTCTTGATAAAAATTAGCACTGATCAGACTCCGTTTTGGTAATGCAACATACATATGACGTCATATGACGTCAGAGTCTAGAAGCAGCAAAATATCACGTGCGGTTTGACAAGCCCGATCTAAATAAAAACTGAATGGTATCTGCGCTCGCCCTAACTGTCGCACCGTCAACATATTATTAGATGTTACTTACAGAAGCCACAGGTACTTGTGTCTTGGTTTAATATGCATGTACCTACTGATACGTTAAAAAGTACTTTTTTACATATTAATAAGTGCATACACATTTATAAACCGAGACCCTTGTATATGTGGTAGAAGCATTATTAAAAAATCCTCTAAGATATAAGCCTATTTTCTTTTTCAACACGCCAATCAAAAGCAATATTTTTTAAGTACAAATCTGGAATATATATAAGATATAACTATATACTAGCGTTGTCTGTTTCCAAATCATTGTGCTAGAAATGTTAACTCTGCTTCCGAAGCAGATGAATCCTTGCTTACCCTCTATTATATCTCTCTGCTTACCCACTCTGCAGTTTCTAAATCAGCAATCTACTCACCTCCGCTATTGGCAAAATAATAAACCTGTCAGAGATTAAGACGGTGCAATCAGAAAAATATTAAGAGTAATTCAACACGTCATGCTGTCAAAATAAATGACGAAAGAAACGGGTTGTATTATTTACTTATGAATATGACACCCTCGGCCCTCTACAACGTATAAAACCGGAAGAACTGATTGGTTCCCTGACATTAGTTAACGATCGTGGCAATCCTCTGCTGACTCCATAGACTGGTACCCTGACATTGGTTAACGGGCGCAAGCGCCCTGAAAAACCAACGACAGGTAACCACTGCCATTTTATCGCGTCACAGGAAACAACAATGATGATAAAAATCTATATTTAAACTAGCGTAAATCCATAGTGCTTGTTATAAACAAACCTTCTTTCTGCACTCCACACTGCTGTTAACAAAGAAAGTAGACGGATTTTAACCATCTAAAACCGTTACGAAGTGCTGCCTTAAAAATCATTGGCAAGCGACATCATAGGCCTTATTTAAATAACTCAAATCTGTGATTATTAACTTGCATATTTGCCATTCACCCATTGGTATGGTAAATCATTGATTCCACTACGTCACAAGATGTACTTTACCATCATTTATTTTATGTTTTCAAGTTACGGAATGATAGCGTTTAACTCGCCGCTCCATACTCCATAAATCACTGTATATTAATGTGTTTATGCGTCAGGATCGCAATGTTAACACTATTGGAACATTCTCGGGTTCATTGTGACATTTGTAAACTATATACTCAGTCAATACAGTCACTGTCATGTTATTTAAATATTTCCCACGTTTTTCATTGTTTTATTCTTCAATTTAGATATGCTACGTTATCTCTGTTATTTAGATCACTGGATCCACCTAACATTCTTCTCCGCAAGCATGGATGCTATTTATTTTTAGAATGCGCAATTGCTATGCGCGACAAAGCAGTGAGATTTTCCACTGTCATGGCGGCGGTGGTTACCTGTCCTTGTAATTCCTAGCGGCAGCGACTGGAATCAAGGGCAGAGAACCAGTGCTACTGACTCCATACAAACGTTAGCGAGCCACGCGAGGGGCTCCGAGCGACTGAAAATCAAGGACAGAGAACCAGTATTATAAATCGTAACTTCTCGGGCTTTACTTGTATGGGTTGACTAAATTCCCGAGATATTCCGATTTGTTGCCATGTAAACAATATGGCGAAAAGATTGCAATAATCAAAATGTCTCATAGGTAAGAAAAGTACTTTTTTAAATATATTACCAGCGTATTTAAGTTATCCTTTTTATAGAATTGTTTTCTAATAAAATCTATAGTTATACATTTAACCCTTATAAAGAACGATATAAGAAGTCAAAAACGATAAAGTTTAAAAGGATGCCCATCCATTATGCTAATATTTTGTTTAATACACAATCAAATTGATATTACAAAAATCTTTAATGCATTTCATTTTTTTTTTATAAAAAGAAAATGTATAAGTGTTTATCTTTTGTAGCACGTACAACAAACAATGGCAGGAGGCTCAGTCCTCCCTCATGGATCTCCTTCAACAGGAGATACCAGAGCAGCCTCCAAAACCAGAAAAGGTATGGAGTAATTTGATATACAACAGGATGTAATTCACCAAGACTTTTAGGTCCTCATAGACCTATTCATATAATCCTTATCCTTAAATGTCTACACAGTAGTTAGTTGAATGAATAATTAAGTCAGTATTTTTTTTTAAAGAAAACATACTGGCGTTAAATATGCCTGAGACTGCATATTAAGACATTTTATGAAATTGGGCATATACATTGTGTATGCCTATTAGCATGCATGCAATATACCATCATGAATCTTATCCTGTATTTTAGTAGAAATGTTCCATAAATGTGACTATATCTCAAGTACACAATTTGACGTACTAAGTACACATTTTACAGTTAAATATGTCAAGAAGGCTATACTGTTATTCAGAAAGGCATGCATAATGGACCTTTTAAATATTAAAGAACTGGAATGTCATTTGAAAATAATAATTATTAGCTTTGAAAGAATTATGCCTATTCTATCCTCATTTTTTTTAAAGAAAAAAATTGATAAAACACATGCATACACATACATTTTGTTAATCAATCACTTTATTTATATATGATTTTCAAATGTATTCTTTGTGTAGGACCGACTGGCTGCATTCCAGTTGCTGGCTACCATGTACATAAAATACATCCAAATCTTCAGAAAGCTGGAGCAGTGTTATGACCAGATTGTTCATCCGCAGAAGAGAAGAGTATTACGTCATGTCTTGGATGGAACCATGGGAAGAATATTAGAACTGAAGCATGAAATGGTCAACCTTGAGTTCTCAGAGTATCACTACTTTGATGATGTTTTGTCTGATTTGAAATTAACTCCGGTAAATTCATTTATATTTAGAAAAAAATTCAGATACATCGATCAGGGTTGGGGAAATCATAAGAGTTAAAAATTGATTTCTAGATTCAGAATGCAATTTGCATATTTTTTAAATGTGTGTATATGTCATGAATTATGTTTTGCTGAATTTTGATTTTAGACGAATCATTTTTTTTAATAATAATCAACAATTGTATTATATTAATGTTCAGAAATAAATGAAATTTAAATCATGGAATTTACTTTGCAGTTGAGAAGAGATCATCTTTAATACTAGTATTTTACAGTAATTCTTCCTACTTGGTATCTGCATTGATATTGTTTGTTTCAGAATGATGTTGAAATCCCTATTCCAAAATTCTTTATCAATGAGAGATATGATGTCTTAAAAGAAAGAGAAAAATTGTTGGGTAAAATACTGGCCAAGATTGGGCCCCAAGAAAAAGAAGATGTAAGTATAACTTTTTACATTGCATTCATATTTACGACTTTTATTTTGATTTATTATGAACAATATTGTCAAATTGTTTTAAAAAATATTGCTCATGTTTTTTTTTCTTTTTTGAAATCTTTATGTGCAACACAAGCTTAAGTTGAAAAGCCAAATGTCACATACAACATTTTCCATATATATTCAAGAAATATATTACTTTGTTTCTATTTAAATTCTAACACAGTAAAGTTTTGAGCAGTTAATTCATTTACCATGCACTTAAAGGGATGAAATACTACACTACTAAGTAGGATTATTTATAAATTTATCACATATTATATAATGCAAATACATTGATAGTTTTTGTATGAAAACAAATGCTGCTTTCACAATGTTACATCAGATGTACATGACTATATCTATTATGAGACACATGAAATGAGATTTTGCATTACTTGATTCACTGTGACTTCATTTTGAATTATCTTTCTTACTCCAGCGTTTAGCATTTGTAAGTGTTAATGCATACAATATGTATTCAAAGACTGTGTTTATCAAGTGCTTTATATGCTACTGAAGAATCTTTACATTTAATAGAGATTGAGCAAAAGTTTGTAACAGCTCTCTGCCTGACACACTTATAATCAGCTCACAGCATTAAGAAAACTTTCTTTGTTTTAGTCTATTGTTAAATATTTTGAAATTAGTATAACTCCAGTGATGCTTATACATATTAAGCATAATGTGTTTAATATTTAAAAAGACATAAACTCTATCTGAAAAGACTTTTTACATTTATTAGGGCATGTATTATACTGCATTTTGCTTGTTTGTACATTATATTAATTGCTCTTGTAGTGCGCTTCATTGAAAATAAAAAGTCAGTTATACTAAAATTGCCATAGAGCCTATGATATTCACTTAATTCTGAATGAATGATTTAATTGTAGGATTGTTATAAATTACATTGTACATAGAATGATCTAACTGCATGTCAAGAATGAGAGAGAAAAAGAGTACCATTGAAATTCTGAAACATTCTGATAACACAAACTTTGTTGTATGCATGCATGTATACCATAGTTGAATTTGCTTCCATTTTTAAATTCAAAGGTATAATTAAAATTCTAGTCAGTAGTGACCCATAAACATGTACATGCATACATGTGATCAGATTTTGAGATTCATTGTTTTTACTTTTCTGATCAAAGAGTGCTTCGTGTCCATCTTTCTGTCATACATGTTGTCTGTTAAGTTTTCACAGACATTTTTAACTTTTCCTCCAATCAAACTTGCCACAAAGCTTCATTGATTAAAGAGAATTTAAACTTGTTCATAGGAAGGGGCACATCCTCATTCAAGGGGAGATAAATAAGAAATGTTAGTGGTCCAGACATCTTTTAAAAATATCTTTTTCTCAAGAACCACTGGGCAATTTAAGAAAAGACAAATTTTTTGTGAAAGCTTCGTAATGAATTGAGTAGATAGATTTGAAATTTCTTTTAATCATAGCGAATTTTTAAGTTGTATGAATGAAGATTTGTTTTGTTCAAGTAAAAGACCTTGGGGTCAATTTCAGGGATAAAATTCTACATAATGTGTGTATTCAGAGAAAAATTAATCTGCAGAACAGGAAGGCCATGATAGTCATGTTGATATTGAGGAATACTCATGCTATGACATATTAAAGTTTCATCAATGCAAATCCCTTGGATTAGGATCAGGGATCACATTATGTGGTTAATATTTTTCATGGGAATAAATAGGTGAAAAATTCTGAAGAACAGGAGGGCTGGTTACTCAGATGAGTGTTGTGGCCCAGGGGCCTCTTGTCTTAATTTAGGTTTTATTTGCAATGTTTGATACACTGTAAGAATACACAAATTCTGTATATATTTTTCATTATAAGGCAGAGGTTTAATGAATCTTTTACGAATAAAGATATAATGCTTTCTTTTGTAGGTGATTCCTTTATTTTTTTCCCAGAAAAAATTAAATAACCATTACAGAAACTTTTAAATGTTTTTATTATTTCCTGCAGCAAAAAGAGGAACTTAAAATGTCCTTGGAAGATGCCATTAAGCTGATTCAAGTTCATGAGCGAGCCCGTCAGGGAAGACTCAGAGCCAAATTTATGAAGGAAATTCGAGAGCAAGAGGAACGAGACAGGAAAGCTCAGACTCAGGGTGCCCCTACCCTCGACCCTGATGTAGCAGCTAGTCGAATTCAGAAGGTAGCTAAAAATTATCATATTACGTACTCTGTATTTGTAAATGTTTTTTGCTTGGATTTAAACTATTCTTTAAAAATGAAAAAGAAATTTACATAAATACACATGTTTAGCTTTATGAAGATTGGGCTGAATTTCTGAACATAGGGGAAAATATTTGTCATAATTATAAATCCTTATAATTATAGGATAATTTCCTAAAGCCAATATATTAAAATATGTAAAACTGTTTTTGTTTGAAGGTGTGGAAAGGTTTTGCACAAAGAAGAAGAACAAAAAAAGAAAGGGATGAAGAAATGATATTCATTGGCATGGTAATTTGATCTCCTTTTTTTGTTAAAAGTACAAACATTTTGAAGCTGCATGCTTGGACATAAGATGTTTTCTATGAGCACAAATTATATATGCAATATGTAGTGGATTAATTCCACTGAATTTGATAGTAGTTGAACTGAGTCTGTTAACGTAATAATTTTTGAAACACTAACCATTTCTTAAAAAATACATGTAATAAAGACCTTTTTAGTTTAATAAGATATTGACCTGATAAGATGGATCAGGGTGAATTAAAAAAAAATGACCAAACGCATATTTATCAACCCACACTAAAAATACAGGCAATGAAAATAGATTCCTATGTCTCAGCATATGTCTTTAGATAGTGTCTAAATACCTGCCAAATATCTCGTTGATATCTCAATTAACAAAAAAGTTATGCCCAAAAATGATGCTAAAATTGTCAGGAGTGCAACACCTTTTTGTGACATTTTGAAATTTCAATATTTTTTGGAGATCTGTGAAATAAAAAATAATGCTTCATGCTGAAAATAAAGACTTTCCTGATAATATTCAAAGTATTGAGCTTTAAATGTGGACTGTCATAACTTTTGTTTAATCAAGTTATGGTCATGGCAGATGTTTAAAAAAAATGTTATACCATTAATACATTTATCAAACAAAATACAAAAGAGTGCAACAGAAAAAATGTAGTGTTGCCAAAAAAACATCAATTGTAAAATTCTGAGAGAAAGTTAAGACAAAAAAGAATTTTCGAAGTGTAAAACAATAACTGATATACATTTTAAAACTTAAAAATGTTATATAAATCACAAGCAGCATTAATGAGAGTCAAGTATATGTGCATACCCAAAAATTTCAGGAGTGCAACATTTGATGTTTTGCTCCCAAGCATGAAAAAACTATTATCATTATATGATTTTCTGATTTTTATTTTAGAAAATAAAGACACAAAGAACATTTTTACCAAATAGATTTATCAATTACAGGATCTGTCTGTGTCTCAGATCCATATTTCTATGGTCAGAAGTGCAACACATTTTTTTTAAAGATTCAAGTTGTGTGACGAAAACACTTCTATTCATGCTTAGAAGTATTCATTAATTAATAATGATCTTTTTGTATAATTTAATACTAAATTATTGACAGTTTTATTATTAAAATCCTTCCTTTTTCAATTTTATCAATTCAGATATGTTCTTATCTTTTTTGTGAATTTTTTTAATGAACGAAAATAAACACACTAAAACATTGTCGTAAAATTCAAGTAATTCCTCCTCAACTTCACTGAAACAACAGAACAAGTTCTTATGTAATTTTCACTTCACAATTCTACTTTAAAGGCCCCAATGCTTTTGGTCAGGAGTGCAACAAATATGTTAGAATTATAAATCATCCAATAAGAATAAAAATAAAGAAAAAATGATGAGTAGAATTTTTCTGGTGGGTTACTGTGTTTGTCTTCTGAAGGAAAATACGCTTTAAAATATATTTTATCTTCTAAATATACATTTAAGCTAGTTTTTTGGCATAAAATAGGGTATAATAATTATTCCAGATAAAATGCGAATTTTAAATACTTTCATCTGTTTTAATTATGAAGTATTGGACTATAAGTATTGCACAATTTCATTACCACTTGATGATGCCAACTCGATCTTTATGAATTTTTGTGTTCTATGGTTTTAATTTTAAACTTTACTGCAGTCAGGAGTGCAACAAAACTGCTTCATAATTACCGATGCTTTTTAACTATCTATAATAAAAAAATAAGTTGAAAAAAAGATGCTTGATACTATTTGATGTTCAAAATGCTATGTCTATCAACAAATTACAGAAATTTTACGGTCAATTCAGGGAATAGTTTTCATCATTTCACATATATTTTAAATACAATTTATATATATTACACTTTGCAAATAATCATGTTTTAAGGTCTTCAAAATATAAAAAACCTGCTGTAAACAATGAAAAATACCAGCATGACAAATTAATTTACAAAGTAAGAATGGGTTATTGTGTGTTATAATTTTTAAAACAATGTTAAATAAAATACATATCAGATGTCAGGAGTGCAACACAATAATGTAACATAGGGTCACTTCAAAATCTAGTATTTTTTGTAAGAGAAGTCGTAAATAACAATTCTTTTTTGGCTTAGATTTGAAGAATTGACTTAAACGGACAAAAAAGTGAATTTTGGGGAATTTTATTGCTTCATATTTTTCTCACATTAAAACTTTTCAAACCAGAATTGAAAAAAATTATGTAAAGTAACAATCAAAAAGCCAATTTTTTGTCACATGTACAAGAGAAGATACTCATTCAAGGTCTAGATTTAATCATTTATACCCCTTTTACCATTTTGAAGCATAAAAAACTATAATTTCTTGTGATTATGTATTTTAAAAAGTCTTTCAAGGTTTAATGATATTTTCTTTTTTCAAAAGAAATTTTACTAATGAAAATTCTGAAACTTTTTAATCCAATTGTCTATTCTATTGCCACTTCAGGATTATAAACTAGAATGCATTTGCAATATGATGATATAACGTGAAAAATATGTTATAAGTAGTTGAATTTTGCCAAAAAAATTCAGTTTGGTGGTCATTTTTTTTTAATTCACCCATCAACCTTCAATATAAATTGACTGTGTCAGTTTCATTCATTAATTGAACCTTATCTTCTAGTTAGCATGGTTAGTATTTGTATTGGTTTTTCTAAAACAAGTCAACAAATGCACATATAGGATATATCATGCCAAATTTTTAATGACACTTTCACAACTTAAAGTTTGAATAAAATTTGACAGAGACTCTGAATAGTACCTCCTGCATTTTTAATGTAATATTTGGTTATTTTTAGGCACCCCCGCCTTTACCCACAAGTATCAAGAACACTCCCCAGGCCTTGGCTCTGAAAACTGAAGCTACACGACGGATCACTCAGTCTAATCATGAAAATGAATACCAGCAAGCCCTGGGTACCATCAAGGAGAAAATCAAGGAAACAGAGGGTCCTGACATTAAAGAGACCATGATGGACCAAATCAGACAGTGGTTCATTGAGTGCAGGTAGGTCATCAAGGAGAAGATCAAAGAAACTTAGCATTAAACATCATTTAAAAACTTAAGCTAGCTAGACCATGAACCAATATGGTTTATCAAGTGGTAGATAATCAGGATGAAGATGAATTCAGACTAGGGTTCATCATGTGCAGGTAAGTCAACAAGGAGCAAATCAAGGAAATAAAGGGTCCCATATTGAAAGCTCAAGCTATACCTTGAACCATTCAGGCAATGGTTAATTGAGTGCAGTTAGAAAAATCAACAATAAAATAGCAAATACATGTATGGTTTCAAATCTGAGTGGAATCCTGTTTCATTTTAAACACTAGGGTCCCATTTGAGTTTCAAATCATGAAATAAAATTACATCAGTGTATGTATATATATGATGATTAAGAGACAGTCAAAAATTAAATCGTCATGTGTATATAAATGAATAAATGAAGATGTGTATAAAATCAAACATAGGAATAATGTGTAACATTCTTATTACAGAGATGCACAAGGAAAGTTTCCAGAATACCCAGATGAGGATGATGGGGGATCAGCTCTGATCTTCAAGGAAAAAAGTCCAGAGGAGCTGGAGGCTGAACTGAATGACAAGGTCAGTCAAATCTACAACATGTTCTGGAGAATAGGGATCTCAATATACATGTATCTTCATGTACATGTATTTATATTTCAATGTCAAAATCTTAACTCCGCCTGATTAACCTCCTTAGAAACATTGATAGTACATCCCTGTTATTGCAGGATGGAGACAAGAAAGGAAAGAAAGACAAAAAAGGAAAGAAGGACAAAAAGGACAAGAAAAAGGACAAAAAAGGAAAGAAGGATAAAAAAGGAAAGAAAAAAGGAGGAGATGATGAGGTATTTTAACGTTAGGATAAGAGATCAGATCTGTTGGTTAAAAATTACTAAAACTTAGATCTACGATGTATACAAGGCCAACCTTGTGTTGTATATACCTAGTACTGTTACTTTCAATGATTGAATCCTTGTTCAGACTATATTTAAAGGCAATTATATAGGTATTTGAAAGGAAACACTGAATTTGTTGTTTGCTTTAAACATGTAGTATATTAGGATGGTACCACTTTTGAATTAGCTCTAATTTATAAGTAGAATCTGATTTTGACCCAATATTTGGAAATAAACTGATGGTTTTTTTTTTTTTTTTTTTGGCTATCCTTAACTATTCATTCAGTGTCATTTTGACACAAAATGGCAAAAATAAATTTAAATTCATCAAAATATTGACATACACTAACCTCAGCTTCAAATTTTTTCAGCCTAATTTTCATTTTGTTTATATTAATTATTTAATCAGGTCAGTACATCCCAATAACCATGTGAACATTGAATAAAAATTAGATTCTTGTTTCAGGAAGAGGAAGAGGGCTGGAAAATGGCAGAGTCTAGCTTTGTTCCATCTATCAATGAGGGAACAGAAAAATTTAAATCTGTGTGGATGACTCGGGATGAAAAGGACAACTTTTCCCAGAAACATGATGCTGAACTCATCAAAGAAGAAAAACGGAAAGAAGTGGAAGAAGAAATCCGTATACAGGTGGATGAACTGATGAGGGCGGAGCTGAAAAATCTGAAAGCTGTAAGTTATTATCCCTCTAACAAATACCCGGAAAACTCCAAATCAATCGTCCTTATAGTATTTATATACTAGGGAAGGTACATGTATAATGTTCCTTAATTTTGTTAATTGTGTTTGGATTTTAGGCTGTTGATAGAGATAAGGGAAAGAAAGGAAAAGGAAAGAAATCTGGGAAAAAGAAGAAGAAGAAGGGAAAGAAGAGTGGAAAGAAAGGAAAAAAGAAGAAGAAGGAAAAGGATTTGACTCCAGACAGGTGAGAAAACTTTATATTCTTCAGCTAAACTCAAAGTATGATTTTGCCTAAGCAATACATGCATGTTAAGTTTAATATACATGCGGGCACATTCATTTTTTAAAAATCTTTTTTGAGAGATATCCAAAACACTATATGTCCTTGAAGTCATTTATATTTAATTTCTTTTCTGTTAAGTTAACAGTCAAATTCTTTTGATGTTTTCTGAGATAGAAATTGGATAATTCTCTGATTGTTAGGCATTAATTAATGACAAGTATTCAGACTGAACAAAATAATTTAACATATAGTGATTATATACTGAAGCTAACACACTGCAATGCTTATTCTAGGACAATAGAGTCCCTCTATGAGGAGCTAGTCAAGGAGGGGATCATAGTGAGGTGTCCTCAGATTCGTCTGTCCGAGTTTGAGGGCGAGTACAGTTATCTTGGTACCACACTCAGACAGGCTAATATTGAACCCATGCCCTCCCTCAGTGATGTCAGAAGATTGGTGACTGAATTTGGGATATTACCACTGGGTAAGTTATAAGTATTAATTTACTTCTTTTGTGCAAGACAAAAAATTGATATTTTTACCAGTATAATTATTTATGTAGGACTTTTTGTAGAGATCCTACATATGTCTGTAGTTGTTGCAATAAACCATAAAAGTCATACAAATATATGAAATTACACCTTTAATCATAAAATAGAGGACAATTTTCTATTCTGGATGCCATTGTCTCAAACAAAATTTCAATCTGCACTACTTGGGAGGATGCATGCTTATCAATTTAAATAATTATAATATTATAGTTTGTTTGTATAAGTATAGATTTGTTCTTTTCTTTAGCATATTTGTTTACAGTACAGCTCACGAGTATCTTCCGGAAAACACCGGCCACGGTGGACCCTTGGTCCACGCTTTTGCGTGGACTTTGAAAAATGTCGGTGTCTTTGATGTTTCGTTTTAAACGCTAAGCTGGCACACGGTGCGACACGGTGTGTACACGGTGGGACACGGTGCGTTTGCTCCGTGGAACTACGTGCTGGTTAATCAACGTTAAGTGGTATGAAATGACTTTAAAATAATTCATTGAAGATTTTAAAATAAAAAGCATTGAAATGCATATCATCCGCAGCGTGCATTTTGCTACTTTCGATATTGTACTGACGTGTCAATGAATTTAACAAGGACGGAATTTTACAATGTAGTCAGCAATCTTGTGTTATTTGGAAGATATCTTCTTAAAAATTATTTTGTTTGTAAAACAAAAGCTAAATCTAAATTTAAAAAAAAAATAAGAAAGGAATATTCTGCATTTGTACTGTGCTCAGGAAATCCATGTGGAAGTGTCAATTGATTATCTTATCCGACGTACTTTTTTAAAATTATAAATTACTGTAGAAACTGGTGTATATGTAAATAATTACTACATCAAAATACGACACAGAAAATATATTATTTAATTTAATTTGAATCGGATGAAAAAAAAGATTGACTTAAATTTCCGTCCCGTAATGGAACCCATATTGAGATGAGACCCGATGTAGTCTCTGTGTAATGAGTAAATCTCTGCCCAGCCCATCAGAAAATATGAAATGTTGATATCCAGGTATTGAAGATGCCCCACTTTTTCATCTGTGTCTGTAATTGTTCAGAATTATATGTAAAGTATAAACCTTAATATTTAACTTGCATTTTGTGTACAGATCGAAGCATTATGGGCACAACATTTTCAACAAAACTTGTCGCCAAGAATAATCACAATATGTAAACGATAAGATGTAAAACGTTATTAATAATTATGCTCAACAATTGTCAATGACGTCGATAATGGAAAAAAAATTCCAATGATACTATTCAATAAAAATGATATTTCTGCAATATGTTCTATGTTAAACAATGATGTAAAAACTAAAAAGCCAAACAGTTTTCTTCCGTATAACGTGTATGGAAAAAAAAAGTCTGCTTTAATTGTTAATAGGTTCACTGCCTGACTAAGCATATGCATAGGAGATATGAAAAACTAGATTGAAGATTTTATGTTTTACTAGTACCTAGCGGAGATTTTTCAAACCATTTAATAAAAGCAAGCATACTGTATATGTGCTCTCCCTACATGTAATAACAGCCCCCCCTTTCCATAATGAGTTTTATGGGTAATTTCTACACGGACATGTTAAAAAAAGAACAATATTTACATATGTCTATTTATTGTATTACCTGTCCTTTTTAAGGATTTATTCTAATCCTTTTCAAAAATAACATTTTAATGATAAATAAAATCAACGAAAGAGAGACAATTTTACGACATGGAGAGTTATGATTTTTTTTCTTCATTTCACCGGTAAGTTATGTTACAGTATATAACCAGTTGAATAATATTCGAATAATATTCGTTTGTAACTGTAACTTGTTTTTTTTTTTTTTTTGAATAAGTTGCTGTACTAAAAATTCTCTAAACAATTAAATAAATAGTTGTTTATTTTTCAAGTTCCAATTAACTTCCCGACACGTGTAAGTTTCGAAGCCAGTCGAGGTGTATAGTATACACTCGCCTAGAGTGAATAATGTCCCAAGGGCCACAGCAACTGAATGTCCCAATATATTTTTCTTCTGAACAGGTGTGAAATATATTAGCCAAGGAGCGACTCCATACATACACGAGAAGTTTCTGCAATTCATCGATATCCGGTATTTGATTGACAGGTAGAGCACTTGGATTCCGTGTGTGATGCGTTGAACTTGTACCTAAATTGCACCAATTCTATTTCGTTTCGATTAATAAAAACTGGAGGTGAACTATGATTTCTTAAAAAAAAAGAGAGAGATACATTATATGTATATGAGAAAAAAAAAAGAACAGAAGGATGAACCTGAAAGTAAAATATCTCTCTCTCTCTCTCTCTCTCTCTCTCTCTCTCTCTCTCTCTCTCTCTCTCTCGTATTTTAACATTATAAAATATGGAATTCAAAATAATTTTTAATTATTACGAAAAAAGTGAATAGTATATAATTTGTAAAAGAATTTTTAGAATGCTGCATTGGCAGTTCAAGCGATTTTTTTTTTTACTTTTCGTACTAATCGTAGAAGATTAAGTAGTAATAAAAAAGAATATCCAGATAGAAATACTGACACTTTACATATTCGACAGAAATAAACGTTCAAACATTGATTTTTTTTTTACATTTATGTCTCTTAATGTCAAGTTGAATCAATGGATGCATACAACTGCTTGATTTTCATGTGAATTTGTCGATTGTACGACTACCAAACTGCGTATTATAAGATTTTGTAGTGAATGCTACGTGTTTTGCTTTTTTTTTTTGCATGTACTTATACTTTTTCTTCCTCACATGTAGCAACTTAGTATCTTCATTGATAAGTGGTCTACTTTTTTTATTTTATTTCTGCAAAATAAGACTTAATTCATATACCATATGAATATCATAATATACTGACTCGACATTTTTTTTTCACTATTATTATTTAAGATGTAGTAATCAGATGATGCTAAATTAGTTATCTGATATCATAGGTATTATTTGTAAATGCCTTTACTGTCAATACCTTTACTACCATATTATTTCGCAGAGAAAATAACAACTAAAATTATCGATCCGTATCTATGTTTTGCATTGAATAATTATTAAGTTCAAAGACAATGTACTTGGATTTGTACCTGCGCATTTATAGCATACGTCAGAAATGTATTAATTTGCACAATCAACATGTAGTTGTTTTTGTTTTCAAATGAATATGAAATATGAATTCAACAGAAATCAAAATAAATTTATTCAATTGATATATACATGTATACCGTCAACGGTGAACCAAAGTCTACACTGAACGCCGGTGTTATGTCACGACCTCACATGTATGATAGTGAGCTGTTTGAATTAAATAATTTTTCATTTTAATACTATTTCTTTCTAGCAATTAAACCAACATACCTATGATTTCAATTCTAAAATTTATTTTTATAAACAAACCATTTTCTTCCGTAATTTTCTTGCACGGTGGAACACTGAGGGTCACCCGATGAAATGGTAATGTCCACGGTGTGACACGGTGCATTTTTGGTGTAATCGCAATATACGCACACGGTGGAACTCCGTGTACACGGTGTAACACGGGGTATTTTCCACCGTGTGTTTTCCACGGTGGGGTGGAAGAAACTCGTGAGCTGTACTGTATATAATCAAATTAAACAAAAATCAATTCATACAGGTATTCAAAATGATGGACTACTTAATTGTGGTTAAACAAATTAACCGAAGTAAAAACATTTTTAATTTTTAGTGTAAAATAGGAAAATATGTGATATATTCAGGAGAAAGCTTATATATACCAATACATGTAATATACCGGTAAGCATTTTTTTAAAACTGAAGCTTGTTGCAATAAACCTAAGTGTTTATAAATTTATACTCCTTGATATGAATATGTCCACTATCCTTAACATTGATATTTAGATCTTTATTTTAGAATATATAACCAATAATATATATATGTACCAAACTTGAACATGCTGTAAATTAAGAAAGTAAAACAGTAATAACATTTAATGAAGAAAACAAAGGAAGCTCCTTTAAACCTAAATGTACAGATTCATACCTAGGCATACTTACATTTAATATACATACATTATTTGCATAATGTATACCAAGAAGTTTTGTTCGTCAGCTTTCTTTTCTTCTCCCTCACAGTAATTACATATTTTTTATTTCCATAGTGATGATTAACCTCATTTTTTACCCTGTGCTGCATTAATATTTTTTCAAAATTACTTTACATTTGAGGACAATAATTTTAAGTGGACAATTCAGAGCACAATTATTAAGTGGGAATACAGTCAAACTTGTTATCTCTAACTTATGGGACCCAAAAAAGTGAGATAGCCAAAGAATTCAAGATATTGAGGGTAATACTCTGAAAGATAAGTGGTTAAGACATCCAAATCACTTTGACATACCCATGGTACTTCAGATATTAGTGTTTGAGATACCAAAGTTCAACGTAAAATTCATATTTATTCCAAATGCCCTTGTTATTTGCAATATTATGTGTTATGTACTTCAAGGAACAAAGCCTTTTTCTAAATTTGGATCACATGAACCATATAGTGTCATATTTACATATTCTACTGAATTTATCTCCTTTATTTCTTATAAAAACTAAGATTGTGTATCAATAGTCCAATCCACACTTTGCAAAAGTTGTTTCCTTTTGCAGGGTCAACCAAAAGGTCAATAAGGAAGTACTTAACACTTGAGCAGGCTCTGACAAATTCACTGCTTTTTAAATTTTTTTCTTCAATGTATGGGTAAAGCTATAGCCCCATCCTTGGGCAATCAAAATGCCAGATTTATATGTAATGTTTCATTTTAAGTCAAATGACAAAGTTACAAAGCTCAATGTTACAAAGGCCAGTGTTGAAAAAAAATTACATAACATGTACAGGCAATAGTGGCAACTTTAATTCCCATACTAACAAGTATAAAGGAAGAATTTTATTGTTCAACTAAAGAAAGCATTTTATTGTTTGAATCTTCACAAAGAGATCTAATTTTCATTTAATTATTTATTCAATTCATACATCAATGAAAGCTTGCAGCTCCCCCTTGTCTTTAGTATCAGCACCTAGAAGAGAAAAAAGATGTCAAATATCAGTTTTAAAGATATATTCAAGTACTAAATAAAAATTTAATTTTATCAGTATTCACATTCTTTTAATTTGATCAGGGATAGACATTAACTTTCAGATTCACTTGCCCTTTGGGCAAGTGATCTCAAACTTTGACTTGTCCGAATGCAAAAGTTGGTTGCCCAAAATTAGGATGGAACTTAAGACGAAAATTATTAATTACTGCAAACATTATGAAAAGAAAAAATGTGACGAAATACACTACTGTCAATTTGGCAAGTTGAGCTACCTGGTACCTGAAAAAATTTTGATCCTGCATTTGTACATAAATGTATACCACTTGTAAATGTACTTGTAAATGTAACCTGTTAACACACACTGCCATGCAGCAATAACCCTCCATTTCCTTTTTAAATATCATATTTTTGAAAATTATTTGCGGTAGGATCATTTTGTAATTCGTGATTTTCAGCGATAACTGTGAAGCAATGCTTAAGGAAGATAGTTGCTACGAAACATACATCTTACCTTGATCAGGATACAACATGTTACACTGTACTTATATTCTGTGCTTGAATAATCTAATTTCCTAATAAGAAGTTAACAAAATTTTGTTAGACGTAGAGTGTATTTCCTACGAAAGAAAACAACAAACTCGATTTTTAAATGAACGGTATAATCCAGAATGCTACCAAGGAATTTCAAATGCAAAACATTGTCAGTCAAGTGTGTGGCGTAAATCAAGTGTTCAATTTATTGTTTTATTTATAAATTAATGTAAACTAAATAAATATGTACATTTGTATCAGAAAAATTCACTTGCCCAATCGGACAAGTATGTTGACAATTTCACTTGCCCGAACTGAGAATTTACTTGTCCCGGGCAATCGGACAACCGTTAATGTCAATCCCTGTTGATTTTTATATTCTAGTTAATCTTGACTCCTTAAATTTGTCTGCCAATAAAAAATTTTCAACCCATTTTGGGTAATTCATGTATCTTTCAAGTACTAATATATATTAATACTTAGATATTTTGACATGTGTACAGTGGCGCCATGTTTATCCGGACACCTCTGTCCCAAATGAAATCGTCTGGATAAATGAATCGTCCAGATAATTGAATCACTCCTCAAAAAACACTCTCCAAGCATGTATATATGCACATCCTTGTATTAAATGTGACGGCAAAGAAAAAACATTAATATTTGGTTTATTGTTTTTATTTTAGTTTTAAAAGAAATATTTAATTAAAGAAAAAATATATTAAAATGTAATTTATACAATAAAAAATGGATAGGCAATTTTCTGCTGAGACCTCCTTTTTAAACACAGTGAATTTAATCGCCTTCTCTTTGGCATGTGACTTCAGCATCATCATTGAAAATGTTTAGATATAAACTAACCCCATACAGTCCCCGTATATTCATTACACAGGGTTACTATAAAATTACCTGAATGCTCCAAGCTAACCCAAACACACGCAATCAATGAAAGTATTAAAAACAAAATCATCTTCATGATTATCAATATTTTATTCTACAGACGTAAGTTTGAATTTCGATCATTAAATAATACCTTGAAAAACGCAATCAACTTCTATACGTAACGCCAGTTTTATATTTCTTTTCTAAAGTAATGTACGTTTATAGACAGAGGTACATTAAAAAGAAAGATTTTACAGCATGGTCAATGTTTGTACAACAATTAACACTACTGCAAGAAAAGTGTGAAAAAGTTGTTTCTTGAAAAATTACCGTCAGGATAAACAAGTCATTTTTCAATGAACTATTATGTTTTGTAGTAGAAATAGATCTTCCGGATACGGAACGCGAATTTCTGGATTAATGAGACAAAATAACGTGGAAAAAATCGGTTCCCAAAAAATATCGTCCAGATGGTGAAGCGTCCGGATAAATGGCGTCCAGATAAATGCGGCGCCACTGTATACTGGTATTTGCAAATGCATTAAAAAAGGATTAAAATTAAACACTAAACCTTACTTAAGTTTTTCAAGTCTGACCTTTTAAAAACTTTGATGACTAACAGCATGCATATAATTAGAACTGCTATTTCAAAAAACAGCATTTTTCCTATTTCACTGGCACCATTCGTGGTTTCATTGGTGGAATCTATTTTGGGCTTTGGCAACCCTACATAATTCAGGCCATTGTCAGCCATTTTCTGCAAAATATTTGATCAGAAATATTATATGAAAATACTGAATCAGTAACATCAAAAACATCCATTTTATCTTTGACTTCTTTCACTTTTAGTGTGTCTAGAAAATGTCTCATTTGCATGTGTCTTTTTGTAAAAATTTGACTGCATGATCCTCATGCAGACAAACATTATAATAGTGTGACATCTAACAGAATAAACATAAAATCATCATTTGAATACATGTATATAAGTGTCACTCCTCACAGACAGACATGGATTAAGTACGTGTTACTTCTTCTGGAGAGAACAGATAAAACTGTGACCCCTCCCACACAGAAAACAGGGGAATTGATTCTTATATATGTGTCTGGCATGCTGCACAGGAAATACCTCTATAGGAATCAACAATATTTGGTCACACTTAAAATGTGTTCCTTCAAATTTCATTTATTCTATTTTTATTAGTTGTGTCTTATAAAAGTTGCATTGAAATTTTGCACTAGGCTCAGAGCTTTTACTCTGGCCACTATATATCAGAGTGCAGATGCCTTAATAACCAATTAACTAAAACACAGTTGGCACAATGAATTTATAAAATCGGAACAGGTCGCTAACAGTATCAAAGGAGCAACATATCATAGGGAACTTAGAAATTGATATGATACATTTTCTTATTGTCCATGTCATTGTCCTATGCATATTCCTGTATAATACATATGTATACAGTTGTTGCATATTTATTATTTGTTAAATATGCATCATCTGGGGAGTCCGACATTAAATGAGGAATCTGCAGATATTTATTTGGAAATTACACCTAATTTAGTGCTTTAATTACCTCAAAAACTTTGATCAAAATTGCGGAATCACTATACAAGCACGTGGAGGAAGAAAGGCGACGTCTGTTTAACGCCTGCGCAGTGTGTAATATTATGTTTATCAATTCGCGGCTTGTTGTTTCGAACAAATATGGATTTCCATTTTGGATTTTAAATCAACGAACATGTCATGTCTTGTCTTTTACAATAAACATTTACTAAATTGAAAGTATTTTATAAATTTTATTACAATATGTAGAAAATTGTGTTGTGTCCTTGAAAAATTGGTAAAAAATAATGATGTCATTGAAAGATATTGTTAACATAAACGCATGCAGTTCTAAACTATATATTTTTCAATGTCAGGTTTTGAACACAATATGTACTAATTGTCACAGTGACTGGGTGATCAATAATTTCAGAATGTAATTTTGCATAGGATATTAATAGGTGTACAGAGTTTTAAACTTGACACAGGAACTTTAAATATTTTAGCAAGTCAATTTAAGCTTGAATGTCTTTAAAAGTACCATGAATGAAGAATATAGAATGCATGTAAATTAAGATATAGGCCTAAAGGACTTAAATAGTTATATTATTTGTAAAAATATGATTAAATTTCAATAAATTGACAATCATAAAGAAAAACTACATGTATAAGTCAAATTTAACAGTATACTGTCATGTTAACACTTATTCAGCAGACACTCATGTAGGAAGTTTAAGAAGACTTTACTAATCCATTGTTAAATATTTTTGAGGATTAGATGTTTCGATCATTTAAAAATTGTATTAATTTTTAAATATTTTTCACTATTATATGTCTCATACCTGCAAGGATGTACTGAACAGGTAAATATTTGCTGTACATGTAACATCTCTTTTCCAGGGTCCCAAGCAGTTCATGAACAGGCCCCACTTACAAAGTCTGTCCTCCTCGCTGGCCCAAGGGGTACAGGGAAGAAAATGCTAGTCCAGGCTATCTGTAATGAGGTTGGAGCCAACATGTTTGACTTGACAGCAGCAAATATAGCTGGCAAATACCCTGGAAAAGACGGTCTTAAAATGCTCATACATCTTGTATTCAAGGTATTTTTAAATTTATTGATTGAGAGAGAAAATATTGTTTACGTGCAGTTGTACATAGATTGATTTTTTTATTTATTAATGGATCAACGTCCAAAAATCATTAATTTTCAAAAGATAGCACACAGGCTGTACACGTATATCAAAACATGTTGGTCACATTAATCATCTGCATGAGTTCATTATTGTCAGTTAAACAATTTGACAAAAAGTCAGCAATAAGTGATCAGTAATTGTAACACAATTGTAACACAAAAACTATGAAATTTCATCAAGATTCTTAATTGTCATAATAAAAAACTACTGATTTCAAAATACATTGAAAAATAAAATGTAAACAATCTAGCAAATTAATTTATCTCAAGAGTTTTTTGTTTAGTGTGAAAATAGGTATATAGCTCTAAAAATGATTTTTCTTTCCATGTTATTAATCATTAGCTCAACTTAACCAGAGGTTTCTGATCGTATATCAAGAAGAAAAAAAATCCTCTCCAGAACAGGAAAGTTATACTAGTTATAATGTAACAGAAGTATTCCCATGTTGTTTTGATTCTTCTGAAAAACAGAGGGTCGCAAGTTCACTCAGGAGAGCATTATAGCCCAAAGATCTCTTGGTTTTTATTTATGGAATTGCTGAAGCATTTTTTTCTAAAATAACAATCACAAAGGGTATTTAACACCCAACAGAAATATAGGATACAGCCTTATGCAGCTGTACTATAGTAACTTTTTATGCCCCCGAATAAAATGGCCGGAGCATATAGTGTTGCCCTGTTCCATCATTCTGTCATCATTCAGTTTCCATTCATTATCTCTGCAACAGTTGCACACATTCAACTCAAATGTGACATTTGGATACGTCTTAGGAATACGCAGGTCAAGTTTGAATTTAGTCGTGGTCCGATGATTTTTGACAGAGTTATCCATCTTGAACTTAGGAAACAAGATGTGCCTGTGAAACACTGATGTCCCCTTATGGCAACTGTGAAGGTGAAACTTTCTCAAATGCAAATCAAATATGTTGGTACCCAAAGTAAGGTCTTGTCTCGAGGAATATATCTGTGAAAATATGAAAGCCATAGCAGCAACCATTAAATAGATATGGAAAAGATTGAAGTTTTTCGAAAGTAAGTCAAACATCAAGGTCAAAGTCAAATGGTCAAAATTAATGGTGCCCAAGAAAAGGACTTCTTACAAGAAATACACCTGGAATATACCTGTGAAATATGAAAGCCCTAGCATCAACCATTCAAAAGTTATGGCCAAGGTTAAAGTTTTTCAAAAGTAGGTCAAACTCCTAGGTCAATGGGCTACAATTATTGGTATCCAAAGGAAGGTTTTGTCACAAGAAATACACATGTGAAATATGAAAGCCCTAGTACCAACTATTCAAAAGTTATGGCCAAGATTAAAGTTTTCCAAAAGTAGGTCAAGCTCCAAGGTCAAGGTCAAAGGGTCAAAATAGTTGGTATCCAAAGGAAGGTCTTGTCACAAGAATTACACAAGTAAAGTGTGAAAGCCCTAGCACCAACTGTTCAAAAGTTATGGCCAAGGTTAAAGTTTTTCAAAAGTAGGTCAAACTCCAAGGTCAAGGTCAAAGTTGTTGGTATCCAAAGGAAGGTCTTGTCACAAAGATTACACATGTGAAGTATAAAAGCCCTAGCACCAAGCATTCAAAAGTTATGACCAAGGTTAGAGTTGGTTTACGTTTTGCAAAACTGGGTCAAACTCCAAGGTCAAAAGGTCAAATATGATGGTACCCAAAGAAAGGTTTTGCCACAAGAAATACACATCTGAAATATGAAAGTCATAGCTTTAACCAATCAAAAGTTATATGCAACAAGCAGTAATATACAAATATTTTAATTTTTTATCTAATGATTTTCAAAAATGAATACAGTGGGTTTAAACTCAATTTAAAAACATCAGAGATTTGATAAAAATGTTAAATTATTATCTTTTAACTTTAGAAAGTAACACATGAATGTTAAAACACCCCCACCCCGGCCATTCAATTACAGCGTGCAAGACTTCCATGTGCAACAGTTGCATCTTGATTTCTACGATGCAATAGGTTCATCAATCTCGAGATCTCAGCGAAAGAAATATTCTTTGCCATTTTTAAATGCCTGTTTTTCAGATGATGAGGTCGAATTTTCTCTATCCAAGTGCAGTGTAGAAACCCTTGGACTTCCAGTCCAAGGACTGTCATTTATGCTAGCGATACGTAAGAGTCTATTGAGGCGTGATGGGGTGCATATTTGCATCTGCAACTCACCTTTATTTTGAGATTTTCCAGCTAGAGCAAAAGAAATGCGCACTTAAGTCATTTTTAGGAAGCCTTGGCATCTTTTATGGAAAAGAAAGGAGAATTTATTTTTCGAAACATTGCTGCATTACTTATGATGAACAGATACAAATCCTTAAAACCCCATATTAATTATTGCCAAATATTTTGTTAAACATGCAATTCTTGATTTCTGTTAAGCAGACCCAAACTTAACTTCTGGTAATGGTATGAAATTCATTTAACTGTTAAATTACCGATATTTACAAAGTTGAAGATGTCCTTATTTTTTAGATACAAAATTGTATCCTATATATAATACTTTTCCAAAAAAATAGAATGTTGCATTTCTTTGCGTTTCAGTATACATCAAGATAAAGTAGAGACTTAGTGCTTTCATTTCCTATTAAAAATTTTCTCCTTAAAGCCAAGGTATTGGAAAACAGGGTTCATAGAATTGCATTGGTCTTGAATTTTAAGGAAAACAGGTATATTTGAGTACTTTCACAGAAGAGAAATAATATGAGTGCACCCTCTGATCTAAAAAATAGAACATGTTTTGTAATCCTCAGAAATAGTTCTATCATTTAAAAGTTGCATATTTTAGATAAGAGGTTGCGCTCTATATTAAATATCGAAAAATAGCTTTAAAAATTGGCTGTTTTTGTAGAATTTTTCAGGATATGAGGAAAATGACACATTTCATGATGTCATAATGCATTGACTAGTCAGAAAACTAAGTCATTTTTGATAGATACGCAGTCATCAAAGGTCTAAATGATATTTAATGCATTGTCAACTAAAACCAAGCAGTTTCAGTTTTTCTGAAATTCACAGGGCCAACAAAGGCACTAAGCGAACCTTAAATTGTTCTTTAAAACTAAATATTGCATTTGAAATTTTGGCTGCTTGTGGGGGTATTCATGGCGATAACAACACATCTAATTATTGTTTGTTTCACACCGTGTATCCTTTGATTTCAGGTTGGTAGAGAGTTGCAGCCCTCTGTGATTTATATAGGAGACTGTGAAAGGATGTTTAAAAAGAAGATCCCAAAAACTGATCCAGTAAGTCTATAAGAGTTACTGTACTAGTTGGAAGGTTGAGCACGAAAAAAATTTTTTTTTTCTATTAAAAGAGATTAAAACCTACAAGCAACATAAAAGTATTAATAATATCATCTTCCTTCCCCAAAAGTATCCATGCAGCTGTAGCTGTAAAATATTGATTGTGACATTTTTTTAATTACTGTAAACTTCATGCAGTTGTTATAAAAGTTGATTTAATCTCTGTGTGAAGATTTACCTATGTACAAGTGAAGTAAACACCTTTCATTCTTGCTTATTACAGACTGATCCAAAAAGGCTTAAGAAAGAGCTGCCAAAGGCCATGAAAGGAGTGAAGTCAGATGATCGTCTGTTGTTGGTGGGAACCTCTCGGTGTCCTTTTGATGGGGAGATGAAGCCGTTGTGCAGTTTATACCAGAGAATTATTCTCATTCCACGACCAGATTATGCCTCTAGACACTGTAAGAATATGTATTAGCAAAACCATATATGTGAAGATTTAGCTAAATATATAAAAGAAAGATACTTTTCAATATACTTGCAACCCCTCCCTTTCCCTCCAAAAACATAAACATTTAAGAAATGAACAGGCATAAATTTGACATGCACCTCCCTCCATTTTCTGGCTCAACCCTATCCTTTGCTGTCCTGATCTGAACTTAAATTTAAGGTACAGTACATGGGGATACCAACAAATAAATCTCTCTAGCCAACACTTTACACTTTAGAGGGATGCTTACTTATTAATTTTACTAACTGTGTTGCCTGTTCCTTTTGTAAATATTTTGATAGATGTTTACCTATATATATACTCATATAACTCTGATCTATTTGCTGTGGCAATGATTTGATCAAGTAATATTCTTTTCTGATTCAGTGATTATATATTTAAAAAGTTGTTTAAGAACTGACCATTCTATTTTTGATTAATTAACAACCCCCACCCCTCCCCCTGAAAGGGGGCATGGCCCTTCATTTGAACAAATTTTGAATCCACTTTACCCAAAGATCTTAATGCCATATTTGGTTGAAATTATCCCAGTGGTTCTGGAGAAGTTATAAAAGTGTGCACTCAACAAATAACAGACAATTAATAGACAGAAAGACAACAGAGAAACTTTGTTCAGAAAAGCCCTTGAGCAGATAATCATGAATTACTTGTATTTTACTTAACTTTATTTTTGCAAGACAGCATTTTATTTATTAGTTAGATACTGAAATACAATGTTTGCTTTGAGAACTTTATCTTCTCTTCAAGCAGGTCTTGTAAAATTACTCAAAATTAAATTTTTCACAGTGTTTTTGATGACCCCAAATTACAACATAATAGAGGCAATTTCCCCGAAAAATGTGGCCATTTTTTCAATAAGTTTACATTTTACCAATTGTCTTCAAGATCTATATCAATGTAAAATTCTTCCCAAAATAGATGGAAAAGGCTGTTTTCAAAATATGAATGAAAAGCAGTAGACAAGTATCATGAATGAAATGTAATTTAAGTATATGAATTAATACAGTATATAACTTTCCCTTCATGTACAGTTAAACCTTGTTATCTCGAACTTGATGGGACCGAAAAAAAACTTCAAAATATCTGAGGGTTCGAGATATCGAGGGTAAAATACTTAAGAAATCTATGGTTAGGATTCCCAAATCACTTCCACATATCCATGGTATTCGAGATATCCATGTTCGAGATACTGAAGTTCAACAGTTACTTTATTAGTTTTCTATTTGAAGACACATATACTGACGTAGAAGCAGAAATTTTTGTGGAGATTATATTATTTATTGATTATGATCTAAAAGGATGTTGTGGGGACTTAATTTCATTGTTACAAAAATAACCATATTAGATATAAAACCATGTGAAAATTTGGTTAGGGATTCAATTTCTTGGGTAAGTGTTATCAACAAAATGAACAAAAAAATTAAACCCCAAAAATATTTCTGTCTTACAGTATATACCTGTACTTCATACACATCGAATTAACTTTGAATAAATATTTTGTAAAATGTCTTTACTGACATGATTGCCTTTTCTAAAATACTTACCATACTTATTAATAAATAAATAAACTTTTGACAGTGCTATGGAGGAGGCTGATCTTAAAGAACAATGGAGTCATCACCAACATACTGGATGTTAGCTCCCTGTCCAAAGTCACTGATGGCTACACACCAGGTCACATGTTGACGGCCATCACCCAGGTCCTAACAGAGAGGAGGATCCAAACATTGTCCAAGAAACCTTTACAGTCGGTGGAATTTATAGCTCCTCTCGCTCGGATTGACCCTATCTACAAAGAGGAGGAAGAGGCATTTAAGGTGTGTAATTCTAACAGGATGGAGAATTAGTGATTTCTTTAAAAAGGGGGAATACAGTATAGGAGGATTATATATTGGTGAATTTATAATGAGAAAAAAAATATGACAAAATATAAGAAAGGTTCATATTAATAAAGTCAGTCAAAACAAACATATTTTATGTAGTTTTATAACTTCAAAATATTTGAAATGCTAATATTAACCCCCACCCCACCCCCACCCAAAATGAAGAGAGAGAGATGGAAAAAAAATGTGTATGCAATTCACACATATTTGCTAAAAAAATATTTTATTTACAATTTTGAAAAAATTAAAGTCCCTTTCATAGACTTTGATTATGATGCCCTGAGATTGCTATATTGTTGAACAATTTAATGATCCATTTAACACCTAGCAGTTCTTTTTACTGTGGAAAATAATTCTTCATTTGATTGGGAAATGGATGTAATGAAAATTTTCTTAAGTTTATGCTATAACATCCAGTTGCTGGTACTCACATGGTATATAAAACTGTAGCTCAGTCAAGATCAATCCAACATCTTGTGTTCATGCAACTACATGTTATACGACAACTAGCTACAGAACTAGAGCATATTTAGGAATTTCCAAGCTTAAGTTTATTGACCCTCTGGTAAGAGAGATAACTCTCACCAAGATAAAAGACTATCATTCCTTTTTACGGCAGTCAGGTTAAAATACAATTTATATTAAATTTTTGCCCTGCAATGTATTCTGAAAGTTTTTGTGCTTTTTAATTATAATTAGATGTCTTTTGAAAAATATTACTAAAGCAAATATTTATATGCATGAAAAGAGGTTAGAAGAAGCTTGACAAACTGATGAAAAATTAAAATATCTGAATCCAAACCTTTGAACCATTTCCTTTCTTAAATGTATTTCACATTACTTATGTTGAAATAATCCTAGGGTTTTAATTCTTCATAGAGTTCCCAAGTTTTCAAATTAATTAACTTTTTTTTGTAGGGGTGGTATGCCAAGACACCACTTGGGAAGAAACGTGCCAAGGCGGCCCAGGCTGATGAAGATGATGGTGGGGGAGGTAAAGGCGGGAAAGGAGGCAAGGGCAAAAAAGGAAAGAAGAAGGGAGGGAAGAAAAAGAAGAAATAAACTGTAAAGCTTGATGGGAAGTTTATTATCAGATGACTGTGATATATGTTTTTGTCAAGACATTTGAAATGAGTGAAACACAAAACCAGATTAAATATTTGTAATAGAGGAATGTTAAAAAAAATGGATGACGGAATGAAGATTTTTGTTTATATATGTGTATAATGTATTGTTTATGATAAATAATTTAAAAAATTAAAAGTATCTTTCTTGAGAAATATATGTACAAAATGTTGAGATAATTGTAAATTATGATTTTTTCATTGATATTATAATCACTGGTTTTAACAAAACCAGCACTAAAGTTAGAATACTTTTTTATTTTAACATACTTAAGGCTTGCTGAGTATCTCCCAGGAATATTTGGAATCTTTCTTTGAGATTAGACAAGCCATTAGCGTAGAAGTGGAGTGAAATGTGAATTAAAATGTCAGTAAATCTGGTGAAGAAATTCACAATAAGGGGAAATGAAACATCTTGTGAGAAAAAAGAGATATGGTTTTAACTAAAATGCTAACCACAAGAGGTAATATAACGTCTACAACTTATAAAACTACCAATGATTTACACACTTATTGGTTGAGTGGATTTCAATTAATTAGATATCTGAAGGTCATTCAAAAATTATTTTCATGCATTCACTTGTGTAATACTTTCACAAAGAAAAAGTCACGTCCTCCAAATGATTTAAATGCTATATAATATCACAACTGATTTAAATGCTATATGATATCACAACTGATTTAAATGCTATATAATATCACGACTGATTTAAATGTTATATAATATCACAACTGTCAGTCTGTATAATACCACTTATCACCATACATTACGATGAATTTCTTTATCAAATAACAAGATAATTAAATATCATATTCAAAGTTCAATCAGACAAAAACATCAATTGAATTGGCATTTACTTTGATTTTTGTTAATAAATAGAAGTAGGGCTGGGTATCTGTTGGTACATGTAATTTCGTATTGCGATATTTGGAACTGTATTGCAATATGTATTGCAATATTTATAATAACAGTTAAAATGCTCTTTTCCTTTTTCATTAACCTCCATTTATAAGCAGAGTGTAAAAAACTTTTATAAATTCGTTGTAAAAAAAAAGTTCTAGTTGATTTTACTTCAGTTTGGCAACGAAATGCAACCATACAACAGAAACCTTTACCGTTTTGGTACTGTTTGGCACGATTGAAAACGTTTTTGACATATTAAATTTCATATTTTACTTTAAAAATCTAAAGCCCAGTCATTTTGCCGGTATATCGGTATTGGAAAAACGTACCGCAATACGATACTTTTTGTTAACGAATCACAACATACCGGAATATCGATATTATTGCGCAGCCCTAAATAGAAGGCACAATTTTGTTGTAAACACTGTAGAAAATCTCAATTATCAACATCTTTTGAACAAGACTGCGTTAGATTGTACTATATCTCAGATAATACATGATGCCTTGCAGGTATGTCTAAATTCATCATTTCATTTTGTAGTGTGTCTTTGTAATTTCTTTAATTTCAAATAACTAAGAGTTGTAAATTAAATATACACTATATTCTGCCTATTGGAATACTGTCTAGGAATGATTATCTTAGCGTTTCTAAAATCGGTGTGTTTCACCAACACCATTCTTTGTGAGGAAACATTATTATAATACATATGCAAGCCCTTTTATGGATATATATTGTAATCAAGAAGTGTACAAACAAATCTTTCATAAAAAAATATATATAGACGCGTCCCGCCCCAAATAATTTTGCCGATATATACAGAATACTCTAGAAAACCTTGTGCCCCCTCAATAATAACGTCCGATGACCTTTTTTTCCCTTGTCAAGGAATTTTTAAATGTTTGGTTGTGCCCCCCCCCCTCCCCCCAAAAAAAACTGAAATTGCTTCCTACGGGCCTGCGACGCCATACATATTTAGGTGCAGAACACATACATGTAACAGGTAGACAACGTTTAATATATCACGCCTAAATGACTGTTTTATTTTTCAGATTCTACAGAAAGTTGCTCTTGATTCCAGATATCGCTTAAGGATAATACCAGTTTTCTCTCCAATTCGTTGTATTCATATATTTCATTGAGTGCAGGCCCGTAGGAAGCAATTTCAGTGGGGAGGGGGGGGGGGACAACCATACATTTTCAGTTGGGGGGGGGGACACTATCAACTACCAAAAAGCAAAAAAAAAGGTTATCAGACGTTATTATGTTATTATTGAGGGTGCACAAACATGCAGTAGCTATGTTTTCTATAGTATTCTATATATCGGTAAATTTATTGGGGGCACCCCCCCCCCCCGGATCCTAAAATGAATTTATTAAAAGAAATATTCACGTTTTCCTAATAATTCAAATCTGCCAATCTATTATCTTCATGTCTTATCCCCATATTACTGTTTGCGGTCTTTTATCTATTTATAAACATCATTATATATCACGTGTGTATGTTGAAAGTTGGATCAGACAAAAACATTAATTGAATTGGCATTTACTCTCATTTTCTTGTTCTTTTTTCATAAAGAAGTAAGGCTCATTTTCTTACATGTAATTATCACTGTTAAAAATATCAATTTATGAACTATATATATTAGTCCTTTTGCACTGTTATATCAAAGATAATATCGATACATGATATCTTGCAGGTTTATCTCAATTCATATGACTTCTTAATTTGCATTAATTACTGACATTGTGTAACTGTTTCACAGAAATCTTAATTTCTTTATTTTTAAAAAAAGGGTCTTAAATTAAATTTACACTCTAGATAGTCCTTGAAATAGAATACAATTTAGAAATGATACTGTAAAAATGTAATAGAAAAGAAGTTCTCTCAAAGGTATCCAAAATGATTTACGTACCACAATTCTAAATAATGAAAACATTACATTAAGGCAAATCTGTATTGCCATATACATATACTCAGTAATATGGATAAAATTTTCCGAAACATAACTTATATAATGATCTAAGGATTTACATAACATATAAAGCCATTTTATGGATATATATATATTATCAGAAAGCAAGAAGTGTATAAGCATATCTTCCATTTACTTCTTCAGCTCCATCACTTTTAACTAAGGAACTCGTATATATATATATATATATATATATATATATATATATATATATATATATATATATATATATATATATATATATATATATATGAATACCACAACATAAACAGGATGAACAAGATGTGTTTGTGAAACACTGATGCCCGAATGGCAGCTTATGGCGAAGGTTAAAGTTTGTCAAATGAATGTCAGAATCCAGGCCAGAAGATAAAAAAATGTTAAATTTGAATGCCCTAGCTGCAACTGTTCAAAAGTTATGGCGAAGGTTAAATTTTTTTAAAAGTAAGTAAAACATCAAGGTCAAGGTCAAAGTTGTTGGTATCCAAAGGAAGGTTTTGTCACATGGATTACATATGTAAAGTATTAAAGCCCTAGCACCAACCATTCAAAAGTTATGGCCAAGGTTAAAGTTTTTCGAAAGTAGGTCAAACTCCTATGTCAAGGTCAAAGGGTCAAAATGGTTGGTATCCAAAGGAAGGTCTTGTCAAAAGGATTACATATGTGAAGTATGAAAGCTCTAGCAACAACCGTTCAAAAGTTATGGCCAAGATTTAAGTTTTTCAAAAGTAGGTCAAACTCCTATGTCAAGGTCAAAGGGTCAAAGTGGTTGGTATTCAAAGGAAGGTGATGTCACAAGGATTACATATGTGAAGTATGAAAGCCCTAGCATCAACCATTCAAAAGTTATGGCCAAGGTTAAAGTTTTTCAAAAGTAGGTCAAACTCCTAGGTCAAGGTCAAAAGGTCAAAGTGGTTGGTATCCAAAGGAAGGTCTTGTCACAAGGATTACATATGTGAAGTATGAAAGCCCTAGCTCTAACCGTTCAAAAGTTATGGCCAAGGTTAAAGTTTTTCAAAAGTAGGTTAAACTCCTAGGTCAAGGTCAAAGGTTCAAAGAGGTTGAAATCCAGAGGAAGGTCTTGTCACAAGGAATACACATGTAAAGTTTGAAACTCTAAGCACCAACTGTTCAAAAGTTATGGCCAAGGTTAAAGTTTCTCAAAAGTAGGTCAAACTTCAAGGTCAAAAGGTCAAATATGATGGTACCCAAAGAAAGGTCTTGTCACAAGGAATACACATGTGAAATATGAAAGTCATAGCTCCAACCAATCAAAAGTTATGGGCAAGGTTAAAGTTGACAACAGACAGACAGACAAACAGATAAACAGACAAACAGACAGACAGGACAAAAACAATATACCCCCGGGATCTTTCGATCCGGGGGCATAATAAAAATATCTCAGTTTAATTTATCCCATTCACACAAAAATGTAGCGTTTCCGATTTGTGTCTATTTTAATACTATTCTTGTAAATTCATCTCTCCTTTGTCATTCATGTATTAAAGCTCATGATTTATCTCATCTAAAGTAGAAATCCAAATTTTATATATATATATATATATATATATATATATATATATATATATATATATATATATATATATATATATATATATATATATATATATATATATATATATACATGTATCACTTTTATGTTGATGAGGAAAGCCAAAACAAAATAAAGGCATAAAAATCCTCTTGCAGTTTTTCCCCCGAAAAGTCTTGTTTCTTGTTTACATTCTCTCCTAATTGCTCACCTTATTCTATTTATATACTGCATAGCCCCTAACTCCTCTTGAATTTCATAATTTAATTTTTATGCCCTGAAGGACTTCTAGGCCAAAATCATGCGAAAGTGGGTGCTTTAACGAGAAGAATTTTTTGTTTCTGCCTACATTGAGAGTTAATTTTAAAATTGCAAAATATTGAATTTTAGTCTCAATATGCAAGATTGAAATATTTAGACAATTATACAGTAGCTAATAGCAAAAGAACGTTGACGTTGAAATGTGATTTTTTCCGGGAATTTGTTCTTTCTTATGGGTCAATTCTTTTGAAATTTCGAATAGTACTGTAGTACATCCTTAACCTTAAGTGCCTTTTTAAAAGAGTTATCTTTCTTGGCCCATGCAGTTTCCACTGTGTAGACCTGCAGACATGTTTACAAAACTGTCTTAAGAATTGTCTTAAGTAAGTTCCTAAGAATAATCTTAGGACAATTTTAGGACGATCCTAAGACAAGCTTAGGCATGTAA